TCATCAGAACGATTTCTTTTTTACAGAAACAAGAAGAGAGATTCTTCTTTCTCAAGAAGAGGCTGGATTACATGATGGAGCACTTCTCGCTATTTGATATGCTTATCGATGAGTGGACTGTGAACTGGCCATTTATCAAACACAGATCGGAACGTCTGATGGAACCCCAGTATACCATAGCAGATTTCATTCGGGGTCAAATCGAACAAAGGTATGTGACCTAGGAAACTGAACGTGTCTTGAAGAGGGCTCCAGCAGTTAAAGGCAGCGCCCACGTTCATTTGATGTTCCCGCGCCCTCTCTGGATATCATAGCCCTCCTATGAGGATGCAGTATGTACTAGTTTTGCATCTCAAAAAGGCGAGAGATAGCGCCGTTCGCTAGTGAAGAGTCGGCCGCCCCGCCCACCTGGCCAGCATAGGGTTCTATATAGGGCATTTTCCATGATTTTTTCCTGCTTTTTTTTCTTCACTACTGGATCACGTATTATATGAGCTCCATAACTCATTATTCTTGAAAGCGGGCTCAGCCTTTAAAGGCTAAGCCAAAGCAGTTATGGCAGCCAGGTGGGCGGGGCGGCATCCTCTTCACAAGCGGGTGGCCCCATCCTCTCGTACTTTTGAGCTGCGAAATTAGTACATCCTCCACCCTTGTCGACAAAGCTACGATATCTAAGGAGGGCGTAGGAACATCAAATGAACGGGGCGCTGCCTTTAAAGATTGAGAACTAGACGATTCAGTATGAAAATGGTATGCTGGCGGTACTCAGCGAAGCCTGCAAAGGCCACCTTGTGAGGTGCTGCGAACTTTTGCAACCAAAGCGGCTCGCTGGTATCATTTTGCAGCTTCACAGAAGTTAACAGGTTTCAGTGAAGTGAAACCTGTTAACTAGCATGAGCAGCAGAACTAGCGAAGGTTCAAGAGGCCCTCCCAAGCTGAATCGCATCCAGTCGGAGTCTCTAATTGGGGGGCCCCTTCTAGAGACTTATACCTTACACTTCTCCCAAAATTTGCCATCGACCTGGAGGGAGACACATCCGATCAACGGTCAGGAGTACTATATTTGCGGAGCTGGAAGCAAGGAGGTATAAAATTACTCCTGTAAACGGAGGGTATGTGGGTGGGCCGTTGGTCGAAACACAACCAGGGCGGTTTTTCCCACCAATAATGCCATGCTAGTTGGCAACAAATGTGCTGAGCTGGCAACAAATGGTGAAAAAGGCTGCCCGGGCTGCACTGTAATTTACGCCCCTTCACGAGCTCTCGCATTTCCAGGAATAATAATTGCACATCTAGTTGATAGGATTATAACTGTACATATAATTGATAACGTCAGCATAGTCTAGGTGGTTTATGAAATAGAGGCTGAGATGGCTCGCCACCTTTTTCTAAAATTGAGTGATCGGTTACTGAGCCGATTCAGGAAGAATAACAGATCGCGGTCGGAACGCCGCGGGTGGGCTCAATCCATCCCTCTCGGAACCGTACCACTAATTGCTACAGTATCAACTGTACACCTTGACCAGATAGTTCTGAGCGTGGCGGATATTGTTGTAATCAGACGGAGCAGTGACAAAAGTGGAATGAGCACACTCAGGCGTTACGTTGCGCCACTCCTGACCGGTCGAGAAAGCAAGTAACCACCGGTGGAGAATACCGCGGGTCGATGTGTGCCGTTAACACCTGATACACTCGTGTGCATGGAACCGGAACCTTGTCATATAGAGTTTTCCTCCAGGAAACTTGAAATAGCCAACGGAACTCACGTCCTACAAGGTGAAGGCGACGATTTTGTCGACGCGTTTCTCATTCCAGACTGTAAGAAGAGAGGAGCGGACACGGTACCAACAGCTTTTGAGTGAGACTATATGATAATCCTTCTCACAAGAGTTGTTTTCCTTCAAGTCACCATTTTTCCAGGAGGAAATGCTGGTCATGTCGTCTGCTCGCACCCTTTTGGCGTAGCTGGAACAAGCAAATCTACAAAACAACAACGTTAGATTTGGGCATTCACCTTATACTTCTTCAATCCGCGATGATGACAGTGTTTTATTTGTGGCTACAGGTATTTTTTGATCGTTATTTCCATCCATTTATTTCTTTTCTTTTTCATGAACTTTAAGGTGAAAGCGGGGCAATGTGGTAGGAAGAAACTATTATTCACTCTACAAATAAGGTCGAACGCCTTGCTATCTATTTGCGGATAGGCAAATACACAGATACTATTAATCGCCCAACACTCACTTGTGAGTTTGTTTTTTCAGGCAACACTAATCGAAAGTGCTGGCCGATGGGCGGGGTCAGGCTCCAACAAGGAGAGGCGAACGTGGTGAAAACTCCTCCCATACGGTCCAGCCTGCACTGTCTTACGGAGCTCGGGATAACGGTTTTCAGGAAATTCACAGATGCGCGCAACTTGTTACAATGAATTTGTGGCGTAGCACATCTGAAGACACTACGGTTGGATCCTATGTGATACCTCAAGGAACAACTATCACAGCTCAAGTCTCTGTCATAATGAGTGATGAGAAATATTTCAAGGATCATTGCGAGGTAGGAGCTCCCTTATACTAAACTTAAAGACACATTCTGCGTCTGCAACTCGTCGAAGTTGAGGTCAGAATTTAAGCTTGCATGTGCTACTACCTAAACTACCTTGTGTTACCGCTAAAAATAACGAGAATTTGATACAGCGACAGATGAAGAGGGGCTGAGGGGCCAGAATCCAGACAACCGAGAGCGAGAGCCTGAGCCTTATGCACCAAAAGGGCGATGGGGACCTCGTAGAAAGGCGTAAATGAACTGGAACAAGCAAGCACAGATGTCTCGCCCATGGTTGTGTGGTCCTCATAGAGAAACTCCCCGCGAACCTCTGACGACGATCTTTGCCATTGCGAGTGGGCACCCACAGTATGGTTACATTTTCGCCTCACAAAAACAGGAAACTGCTGGAGGGAGTGATGCTTAAGTGCCATATCCTATACTTGGCCCTCCCGTGGTCCCGCAGCGAGTCACCCAGTGGCAGTCAGAAATGCGTAAGCGCAGACAAGTAGCGCGTCGGGCTATAGCTAGGCGCCGTGCTGGCAGCGAGGCGGAGTAGGGAGGTGCCACCGAGCTATTACTACCCTTCATCCTCGTTCCCGTGCGCTTTTGACTGAGGAAACTGGCACGCTACTGCGGTCCCATTCTCCCCATACGCGGCGAGAACCAGAATCCACGGAAAGAAGTATATTTGTCTTTAATACAAGCACTACTCCTTTTTCTGTTCTCTTTGTTCATGCCAAAACTCGGCCGCCAAAGTAGGGTCTTGCGGATGGCGTTTTCTTCCATCACTTCTGCTCGTTTCCCCTTTGTAACTCAAATAATGTGCACTTTCATCCTCGCGCCTACGACTTGCAATCGCATTTAGTGTACTTGAAAAATCATCATAAAAACGTTCCTCCAATCTTATTTTCAGTTCAATCCCGATCGCTACTCGAATGGTGATAAACTGGAACAAAAGGTGGTTGCGTTTGGTTTGGGAAAAAGGTCGTGCCTAGGAGAATCACTTGCTCAGGCGGAATTGTATCTGGTAAAATTTACAAATATTACTTTATAAATATTAAGAAAACTTCTACAGTCGATGCCTCGGTGACAGACATAGATGTGAGCGCCACTGCCACCTGTCTGATGGTGAGAAGCATTCCTAGAGCCGGGCTCCCTAACATTTTCTCGGGCTCTCTGGTCTCTCTTAGGCACACGCTGTCCAGGTCTCTGCCCTCAGCAGGCAAAATTCCACAGATACGCAACCGCTGCTGCGCGCACACAACTGACTCCATGGACACGCCCTCCCTAAGGCACATGTATACAATCCGATCATTCGAATTAAGAGAGCGAATTGAATCGCTGGTTGCTAAGAATAACTGAAAAGGACTCCATGTGGAAAACCAGGTCTAGTGTGCTTTATTGGAAGGACCATACAGGACTTGTTCCCACAGTGAACCGCCTCCGATAGATATGAACGGGAGGAGATTGCCCGGCACACTCCAAAAGCAGTTAATCTACATCCATTTTTCTTCCCATTACTTTACTGTTTAAGATCATCGCTAATATTTTGCTCCGCTACAATATCAATGCCGATCCTGCACATCCGCCACGGATGAAAGCCATGCATGACTTCACGACCGTGAGAAAGCCATACCCCTATCACATTCAATTTGAGCGGCGATAGTTAGGGACCCTAGGCTTCTTTTGTAACTTTTTGATTCCATAAACAATTATGTATATGTTCATGTATATGTAAACTGTGCACTAGGCTTATATTGCTCACGGATGTAAATAAGAATAAACGCGATAAAGCTCAGTGGATTGATTTGACCTCTTTTTAATACGGCATGAATTATAATTCTACTCAGAATCGTAGCCACTTATTGAACGCGATGTGACCTATACAATGATCTGCGGGGCCAGCAAAAGTACATGACGGTGTTATCCTTCCAGACGAATCTGGTCCCATCTAGCCCATTTAGAAGATGGAAGGCTTAGTTGGATTGGGCGAGGGAACGATGGATAGGATTATCCGAAAAGGCTTTCCTCGTTCATGTTGTGGGCGGGGTCAAGCGGACGTCCGCGCCCTCCTTACTGGTGTGCCCTCTTCTAGCGCGCTAAACGGTGAGGAGTAAGTCGAGGGAAAGGCACGATCATGCGCCTTACGGTCGGCGTGGAATGTGTTCCGCTCTGATTCCACATTGAGTTTTCGACGAAGTTATGTGTCGTCCGTGGTGTGTGTAATGTACGGTGTGTGGGTGTGGGATATCTATGTGCCGAAACGCAAATAAGCTATTGTTGTGTTCAACCCAGCCAAATTTGGGCGGGCATGCAACCAATGGGCGGGTCTTCCTGCAGAAATAAATGACTCGGTTCCAAGATTTTGTAGATATCAGGGGAAAATATTTGGTGGAGAAGATCACATAAAAAGTGAATGTGCCTTTTGTCTGCGAAGACCGCTCTCAATTCCAGGAACAGGTCTTTGTTCAAGCGGATTTTTTTTTCAAAAAATCCCTCACTGGGTTAAATTTTAATGGGGTGAATTTCAGCAGTGAGCAGGTAGATAGTTCGTGTGAGCGTGCGGATCGATTCGAGAAGCTCTATGAACTTTTTTTAAGCTGAAGAACATTTGCGCAGAAAGAAATAATAAACGCAGGAATGAGTATTGTAGATTGCATTTACGGGGAATACACTCGAATGAAGAAAGGACTATGACACAGAGGATGAGCGGTTTTGCTCAGGAGTGTAAGAAAAAGTCTGAGTGAATGAATCTGTGCAATAGCAGATTCAAAATTGGAGCTCGCAAGATTTTGCAACTCTACGAGAGCTGACAGGAACGTACAGAACGCTCCACCGCTCTATCCCCTCCTCCCCGTTTCCTAATGCGTCCACAGTTGTTTTGTCAACCTTCTTTCTCTACCTTATTTCAGAAGGTGATGCGTTTTCTGGCTCATTTACTTTACCTGTACCGTTCTGTTTTTCTTACATCACAGACTACGAACTACAGTAAGGTGTTGTGCTTATCAGGTGTTCTTCTGGTTTATAGCGAGGTCGCGTTACTATCTACGGCGCCTGTCAAACACGCATGCCCACCCCTAAATTTGCCTTCTTTCTATTTCTACACTTCCTTACGCGAAGGTATACTCGACCAATCTTTTACGGAAAGCCCCTGGAGAAGATAGTCTTCTTTTGTTGGAGAACGCTATGACCGTTTTGCCCCGTGCGCTCTCACTTGGGCGGAATTCGAGCCTTGGTGCTGTCCAGATGTCCAGAACCTCTACCTTCACAAGAGCACATCATATATAGATCCCCATAGAGAGGAAATGAGAGAGCCGTTCTTGAAAAGAACCTGCAGTAACATAGGTGATGCAGTGGTTAAAAAATTGCATTTTCGGGAACACACTCGAAATTCCTGAGATGTGGGAGGCGTGTCTGCGTCCATCAACTAAATGTGACCGTGGCTATGATGATTGGTGAGATATTTTCATTTTCATCAAGATAAGAGGCTCTGCGACTGGGTCGCTGGTAAGAGGTCCAACCTGGTCGCTGGGTATCTGGCTGGTGCGGGTCGTATCTGTCCCAGATAGGAAGTTCCCAGAGTTGCGAGAAAATGTTTCCCCCTTGTTTTTCGCGATTTTTCCCGCTTCGCGCTGCTTGCAGTGTTTGACCGTTACTCCTTTCACCTTCCTGGCTGTCATCCTGACGCAAACTCTCTCACCGTTCTTTCATCTCCGCAGACTCCCACTCCCAGCGAATGTGTGGATACCACGCGCTCGAAGGTGTGCCATGCCCCGTGGTGACCTCATGCTACACACTCACGGTTCATTGCTTTTGAAGCTTCATTCCAGAATCAAAAAAGAAGTTGCAAAATTTTAGCACCACATATCTTGTTCTTCTCTCTACAAAAATTCCGAGCAAAACACCTGTTTCACCTGTTTTGTTGGAAGAAAAGAACTCTTCACTCAAAACCAGGGCACATCGTTGTTGGGGAATCCCAATAGGGGAGTCGTATTTGGGCTGGGAAAAATTTATTTTGATAGTTGATTTTTCTCGCTTCACGGACGTTGTAAAGGGGGGGGGGTCGTACCAACTCCCAAAAAAAGGGGGGGGGTCGTACAGACTCGACTAAAATCCCCAACCAATGATGTGCCCTGCTCAAAACATATTGCAAAAACGTCCCTTTCGCTGCCCTCTGGAATAATGTGGCCATCGCTAAATTTTCCGCAAATCTTTTACAGCATTGGTCATAATGATATTCATAGCCATAATTGTTGGTATTGTCAGCTATTTATTCATAAGAACAATGGATTCAGCGGAGGAAATTACCACCAGGTCAGTTCTTTCGACCATGGTGACAGAGAACCTATCTCCCCTTGTTAGGGACCCTTATTTTTAATCTTCTCAACACGTTTGCGGGGCTTGTCTTTCCATTGATGCCCGTTCACCTTCAGTTGATCCGATAAGGGAATCGATAGAACATGCCTGCATGGGGGGTACGACGCCAACATGGCTACTGGGTGATTATCGGTGTTCGTGCCGAAACCCTGCCATATGAAGCGCTCATTCGCCATCAACGCCTCATGGTCATCGCCAGGGAAACAATTTAACAGTGGAGAAACGAGTGTATCCCTCAGGCAGCTCCTAATATCAATGAGAATCGGGACTACTCTCTGGGACCAGTGTTGGTGCAGGCGAACGAGCACATGGTAAATCTTGGCCGGGTATGAAGCATTACTTTCAGTAAGTGCGAGTGCGAGGGAATAAGTGATACAAGCTGAGTGATGGGAGGACGACCCAGTCCACTCAACGTAGCAGTGGCGGATGGTCAGGACAATCGTGATGCCACTCCTTCGCTTACGACGATGGGCGCGCCGTTTGGAAATTTGCATTAGCCTGCCGACTGGAGAGTCGATTTCATGTAGACCGTTGACATCGTAGATATTTATTGCTATTTTTGGTCACACATCAGTGTTTGTAGGCTACTGGTTCATGACTGAGTACCTGTTACACTTGAACGCGGGAACTGTCATTGAGATTACAGGTCCGTTCCCTCTGCCTCTAATTGGTAATACTCATCAACTCGGCTACAAGGTTTTCATCGAAAAGAAAAGCTTTATCGATGCGATCCGGGAATGGGCTGAGGTAGGGAAACTGTCTAAGAAGTTCGTTTTTGGAATATAATTTGAAGGCATAGTTTACGCAGATCGTATAGGCCGACCAAGTCAACTGTTGTGCTCCCTTCACTCCTTTCCTCAAAGGGAGGACATGCAGAGTAGCAAGACGTAACCGTTGACTGGTTACGCCTATACGGTGAGCATGGGCTAAAGTACTGAAATGTTCTAGGCCTACGGATCCCTACACACTTTTTGGTTCGGGCCAATGCCGATTGTAAACATTTGCGATTACTCCACTGCTGTGGATGCAATGGTTAAAAAAGGCTCAACGTTCGCCGATCGAACTATATTTTATATGTTCAGGCTGACGAGAAGTTCGTTACTTTTTATCGCTCAAAATAGGCAGTATTTCTACAATATGCATAGGGAGCCGTTCCGTATGGGATAGGGGACCTCATGTGTAACCTGCAAAACAAACGCAGGAGCCTTTCCTGGCTGAACGAAATAACTCACCGTACCGCCGCAACTCGGATCTCATGGCCGTCACCGTCAGCTCCAGAATAGTTTTCCATCCATGGGAGGTTCTTCTATGCCATACTCATCTGGGAGGAATAACCACTGAGAGTTATATCAATTGACCACAGCTAAGCGAGTTTGTTGTAGCTGCAAAAGTTCCGCAACTCGTCTACCTTCCGGGAATAATAAAAGGCGACGTTGTCTGGGAAGATTAAAAAAGTGGCTTGTGTATGGGCTGCACCCCCCCCCCCCACCCGGCGAATCATTGCATAGACGTCTTTGGACGCAGACTGCGTAGCGAGTCCCAAAAATTTAAATATTGACGCCTAATGCTTTGTCGTTGTGGAGGCATCGACCCCTCGCCCTATCTACGTACAATATTGCAAGTTTCCTCCCTGGCTCCCTAGGGGTATAGATAGGGTGAAAAAAAAAGAAAGAGAAAGAAAGAAAGAGAAAAAAAGAGTGAAAAAATGAAAAAATCACTGAAAGTTTACAACCAGTGAAAGAATTTGCTCGCGGGTCCGGAAGGACATATACGGCCCTATTTCCAGCGTACGACCGCCTTGATGGCCCAACCAACCATGCTATGCACTGTTTGTCGTTTACCCTTTTTTTCGATAATTCCATTTCATAGAAAATCGTGGAATCATCGGAACAAATGGAACTCCTTGGGTGGAACAGCGTCGCTTTGCACTGCATACACTTCGAAATTTCGGTCTCGGAAGAAACATAATCGAAGAGAGAATTATGTTCGAATTTGAGATCGCGTAAGTCGTTATGAAACGAACTATTAAAGGCAACAGGGGGCTGAATGGGTAGATTGCAAGGGCATGAAACTAGCGACTCATTCAGAATCATGTGCTCTTGAGGGTTCCGAAGAACATACGATAATATGGATGCTGGCAGTTCCTCTAGTCACAACATTGGGCAAAAGACATTTTGTCCCATCTATTAGGAGTTGCAAGTTTAGAGGCCGAGCGTGAACAGTCGAAGAAAAGGAGGACTTTGGAATGTTCGCTAGAGCCGCGTTCATACTTCACGACGTGAGCGGTTCAGTCGCTCGATTCCCAAACAGGGCACATCATTGGTTGGGGATTTTAGTCGAGTCTGTACTACCTCCCCCCCTTCTGTTGAGGGTTTCACGACCCCTCCCCCTCCCCTCCGACAACCTATGCCCCTCCTCGTCGAAATCGAGCTGTCGACCGCGCCGCGCGGGGGGCGGGTATTATATAGTGTCGCAGTAACAGAAAATCACAAGAAGTCGAACCACCGCCTGAAAACGCGAAAAAAACGTAAATGTGACCCCCCCCCAACAATGATCAAGTACGACCACTCCCCTTTCACAACGTCCGTGAAGCGAGAAAAATCAACTATCAAAATAAATTTTCCCCGGCACAAACACGACTCCCCCTGCCGAAAAGGCGAGATCGAATCGCAGAAACCGGCTGTTTATCCACCGCGCGGTTCGCGGGATCGCAGCGTTACTGCTTGCAGGGAGGCGTATTTCCATTATCGGCAGGTCCAGCCTCAGGAACCTCCTCGAGGTAATAATAGTGAGAAGTGGGAGCCCTACGTCGGCTGGAGCGAGCCCAAGCCTATACTGTTTTAGGAAAACTTGAAACCAGAGTGTCCATTTGCAGATGTGAAGAACTGGACAAGCGCTTGAAGACAGAGGGAAGATCCATAAATGCTCATGAAAATCTCGAGTTGTTGATAGGAAACATCATTAACAGAATGCTATTCACGGAGAGATTCGAGAAGGTGAGCAGCAAAGTTTAAATCGTTCTCTATTTTACTATTTCTGCTCCTTCACCTTCACCGGAGGTTCAGTCCACGCTGTCCGTGAAGGCAGAATATCCCCACTGAGCCTTTCTCAATGAAGCAAAGCGATCCTAGTCAGGCAAACATAATTCTTATGTACGCTTTGCGCCCAAACGATCAACGTAAACGGTGCCTTCGTTCAATAAAAAAAGCTGCCCACGAGGATGCGTATAGTTTGAATGGAAATTACTGCTCTTCCTAAGGTTGACAAATTTGATTTTATAGAAAGAGGCAGAGAGATTCTTCTTTCTGAAGAAGAGGTTGGATGACATGATGGAAAACGTCTCGCTATTCGACATGCTTGTTGAAGAATGGAATGTGAATTGGCCGTTAATCAGATCGAGAACAGACCGTCTGTTGGAGCCGATCTATACCGTCATGGATTTCATTCGTAATCAAATTGAGCAGAGGTTCGTGGCCCACTGTACTGGGTAAAAGCTGAACAGACCAAGTCTGAAGCTGAAGCTTTGCCGTCTATCAATCCCTGTTGTGATGCGGCATGCAGTCTACTTCTATTAGAAATTGTAGTGACCTATTGAAGGCCATATAGCCTGTACAATGTTCCATGAAGTCACTCCGACAGATACTTGAATATGGTCGCGATCCAGCGGGTGACAAGAGGCGTGGGATACCATGGGTGCGTTTTCCACCATAGTGATCACCTCAAGCGGAAAATGCCATGACTGAGCCCTTTCTCCAGCACTGCTTAGCTAGATTGCAATGACATAAAATTTG